CTTTTCTGAACAGTGATTTGGAGGAAAATGTATACATGAGTCAGCCAATTGGATACGATGACGGAAGCAAGCGAGTATGCAAGCTAACAAAGAGCTTGTATGGATTGAAACAGGCATCACGTTGTTGGAACAAGAAGTTCACTTCTTTTGTCAACAGATTTGGTTTCAAAGCAAGTGAATCAGATCCATGTGTTTTCGTCTGCAACGGCGAAAACGGTATGATAATTCTGGCAATTTATGTAGATGACGGTTTAATTGCGGCCGAAAAACAGAAGGCTATCATACCAGTCATTGAGCATCTAAACAAGGAATTCGAGATAAAAGTGTTTGACTTAAAATATTTTTTGGGAATAGAAATTGATCAGCGATCGGACGGATCAATTCACACGCATCAACAATGCAGTATAAACGCCATTGGACAGTTCACAAAATCTTGGGGATCTTGAGGCCGATGGAGAGAATTTTGAATACATTGCCTGTTAAGTACAATCATTTTAACAGCGCATGGGAATCTGCTAGCGCGGCCGATCGAACGCTTATAAATTTGAAGGCACGTTTGATGGCCGAGGAAATGCGTCTCGAGTCACAAGGTGAGGTCGAGGAGGTGGTAGAAGCGCTTATGGCCAAGCGAATTTTTCCCAAGAAAAATTTCAATAACAAAAAGGGAAATTCGCCAAGTTACATGAACAAGGTAACAAATAAAAGCGACAAGCCAAAAGGCAAGTGCTTCAAATGTGGAAAAAGAGGCCATTGGAAGCGGGACTGTCCAGAAAATAAGACATTTTCTGACAGAAAGCAAGGAGAAAGTTCCAGCGATGCATTTGTATGCTATACAGCGACCAATGGAGACCAAGACACTTGGATTTTGGATTCGGGTGCAACTGATCACATGAGTCATCGACGCGAATGGTTTGAGAACTATACCGAGATAGCTGAACCAGTTAAAGTTGGAAATGGTGAACAGATTATGGATCGAGGAAAAGACGATATAAATATTCTTATTTTCAATGGAAATGAATGGATTAGCAAACGAGTCATGGGGGTTTTGTTCGTTCCGGAACTGAAGAAAAATTTATTCTCGTCGGGAAAAGTGACAGATCGTGGGCATCAATTGAATATGAACAACAAAGGTTGCGAACTGCTGAAGAATGGAAACGTCGTTGCAGTGGGAGTTCGCAGAAGGGGTTTGTTCCAAATGATGTTTAAAACAGTTCAAAAATCAAGGCTCGAGGCAAATGTGGCAATTAAAAGAATACCACTTCGTTCGTGGCATGAGCGACTTGGACACCAAAACGCGATACACGTTAAAAAGTTTATACAGAGTCGAAAAATTGATTTCAACGATGAAGAATTTGTATGTGAAGCTTGTGTCTACGGGAAGCATCATCGAAGCAGCTTCAAGAGTCGCAAGGAGAAGTGTGCGGACCGTTTCAAACAAACTCGATGGGCGGCGCCAGGTATTTCTTGCTATTAAAAGATGATTACTCACATTTTCGTTTTGTCTACTTCTTGAAACAAAAGTCCGAAGTAGCAGGCATCATGAAGAAATGTGTGAAGCTGGTTCAGAGGGAGGACGGTCACAACATTCGCATTATCAGGTCTGACAATGGCACAGAGTTTGTCAACGAGGAATTAAAAACATTCTTCGAAGTAGCTGGAATTCATCACCAGCGAACTGTGCCGTACACGCCAGAGCAAAACGGTTGTGCAGAAAGGGAAATGCGAACGATCGTAGAGTCAGCAAGGACGATGATTCACTCGAAGCAACTAGACAAGAAATTCTGGGCGGAAGCAGTGAATTTAGCAGTATATGTGCTAAATCGAACTGGAACGAGTACAGTCGAGAACAAATCATCGTATGAATTATGGTACAACAAGGAAGCAAAGTTGAATCATCTACAAATTTTTGGTTTGGAAGTTTTTATTCATATTCCGAAAGAAAAACGTCAAAAGCTTGATCCAAAGGCAGCAAAATGCATGTTTGTCGGTTATGATAACCATTCTAAAGGATATCGAGTTTGGAATCCGAAAACAAGCAAAATCGAGATCTCAAGAGACGTCGTTTTTTTGTTGGAAGATTCCATGGCAACAATCAATATCGAGGCAGAAGAAAAAGCTGACAGTGAGAACGCGAATAATGGAGGCGCGGACGATTACGTTACGCCGGAAAAACAAAGCGGTCATGGTGCATTATGCGAAATCGATAACAGAAATGTTATTGCACAAAGACTGCGTGATCGAAGTACCATCACAGCAGCGAAGCGCTTGACGTATATTGCATCTGCTGATTTATTTGCAATGTTAGCAGTTAGCGAGGAGCCGAGGACATATGAGCAGGCAGTCCAGGCAAGTGATCACAAGCAGTGGGCGCGAGCAATGGATGAGGAGTACGATTCACTCATTAAAAATCGTACTTGGATTTTGGTCGAGGCGCCAGCTAACCAAAGAGTGATTGACAATCGATGGGTCTACAAAGTGAAGCAAAATCCCGGTGGAAGCATTGATCGTTACAAGGCGCGATTGGTAGTGCGAGGCTTCACGCAGGAGTATGGCATCGATTACCACGAAACGTTCAGCCCAGTGGTGAAGTTCGTGTCGATCAGAGTAATCCTGGCATTGGCGGCTGCAAAGCAAATGAAACTCAAGCAATTCGATGTGAAAACGGCTTTTCTGAACAGTGATTTGGAGGAAAATGTATACATGAGTCAGCCAATTGGATACGATGACGGAAGCAAGCGAGTATGCAAGCTAACAAAGAGCTTGTATGGATTGAAACAGGCATCACGTTGTTGGAACAAGAAGTTCACTTCTTTTGTCAACAGATTTGGTTTCAAAGCAAGTGAATCAGATCCATGTGTTTTCGTCTGCAACGGCGAAAACGGTATGATAATTCTGGCAATTTATGTAGATGACGGTTTAATTGCGGCCGAAAAACAGAAGGCTATCATACCAGTCATTGAGCATCTAAACAAGGAATTCGAGATAAAAGTGTTTGACTTAAAATATTTTTTGGGAATAGAAATTGATCAGCGATCGGACGGATCAATTCACACGCATCAACAATGCAGTATAAACGCCATTGGACAGTTCACAAAATCTTGGGGATCTTGAGGCCGATGGAGAGATAGATTTTCCTTATCGTGAGGCAGTCGGAAGTTTAATGTATTTGGCCGTTGCAACCAGGCCAGATATTAGCTTCGCAGTTGGAAGTGTCAGTCGATACTTGGAAAAGCCAGCTGCAGCACATGTGAATGCAGTTAAACGCATTATGAAGTACATTCGTGGAACGATGAATATGGGAATTCGTTTCGAAGGAAGAAACGACTTGTTATTCTGCGGATACAGTGATGCAGACTATGCTGGAGACATTCAGACGAGAAGATCGACGTCAGGCTATGTTTTTATGCTTGGCAGGAGCATTATCAGTTGGGGATCGGAGCGTCAAAAATCAGTTGCGCTATCCACAACGGAGTCTGAGTACATGGCAGCTTCACACGCCGTGAAAGAACTTGTTTGGTTAAAAAATATGTTGAGCGAGCTACTACAATCAAAATTGAATGCGCCAACATTTTACATGGACAACCAAAGTGCGATACGACTTGTGAAGAACCCGGAATTTCACAAGAGGACCAAACACATCGACGTGCGATACCATTTCATTCGGGAAAAATTTGAGGATGGAATTTTCAATTTGAAATACGTTCAGTCGGATGACCAAGCAGCGGACGTTATGACGAAGGCCCTGCCGAAACTGAAACATCAACATTTTTGTAAAATGTTGAATGTCATGCCAAGGAATTAACGTATTATTCAAGTAGCAATAAAAATGTGGAATTAAAATTTTCATTTTGGCATCAACTTGCAACAAAAAGTGGGAGTATTGAATTTAACTGTGCTACATTGGTTTAGTTCAAGTCGTAGGTATTAAAAACTTTAACAATAAGTAGTGCTGTCACATTGACTTAATTTAATAAAAACGTCTTAAAAGGTTCCAGTTTTTATTTTATCCGATTCTGAAGAAAGGTGAAAGTATTTTACAGAACCAATTCAAAAAAACCAAACATAGTAGAAAAGTGTTTTATGGCAGATTGTATTTAGAAAATTGATAATCTTCAAAATATTGTAAATAAATGAAAATTTCTGGAGAAAATTATATTCAATTATTTCAATCACCATTTTTTATTGTGGAAAATAAAGGTTGAAATAAACCAATTGTGACCCCAACCAGTTTTTGAATAACTTATACTGTTTTTGCCAAAATAAAGCAAATCGACTTTGAATCCCCTTTTACAGTGTATAGTCCTGGCTACGCCCTTTCATTGACCTCCGATATAATTTAAAAGAGTTTTACTTATTAAACTATATTTTTTAAAATATGTTTTCTAAATTTTACCGTTTTCATATAAAACTTTTATTTATGATTTTTTAAACCATTTAAATACAATTTTTGACAAAAATAAAAGTAAAAAATAAAAAATGAAAACAGTAATTGTTAAAATAAATAATAATAATAATTAAAATAAATAATTATTAACTTTAAATGTTAATTGTTAAAGTTTAATTGTTAAATCCATTAGAGCAGTAGTAGGTAAGTTATGTTGTTTATAAAATAAGAGCACTTCTATGCTGGTTTGATTTATTTTAAAACTAGTAGGTTTTAAAATAAATCAAACCAGCAGAAAAGTGCCTCTTATTTTATAAAAAAACATAATTAACTTTAAAGCTTAACTGATTTGTCCATCAGGTATTAATAGATTTTCTTGTAAAAAGATTATTATTATTAAATAAAGTTAAATTTTGGTCACCAATACGTAAATATGTTAGGTTGAACCAAAACTTAACATATTGTAGGCTACAATACAAATTACGTAAATTTTGAATATAATACTATAGTATTAAAATAAATATTAACATAACAGTTTTTACTAATAAAATCTTATATGACAATGTATTACATAGTATGATGTAATATAATATTATAAAATAGTATTGCACTATACCTGTTTCAGTAACTGACACTAAACAAGTAAAGGTAGAAATTATAATTATTATTTTTAAACGTTTAACCATTTTTACTTATAAATGACAAATAATTTACCAATGTTAAAAGCACATTTAATAAATAAATTAAAATAATCAAAGTTATTATTGTGAAACATTTTAAGATAAATTTATGGAATTTTTAGATATATTTAGTATTGTAGCATTGGCGCACATTGCTTAACGTTGGAAACAGCTGGTATTTCCGGATGGATTTAAAATTTTCGATGTGAAAATAATAATATTTTACAGTCACCGGCAAAAAACGGCCACCAGAAATTGGCAACAATTTTAATGTTGATTCTCGAGAATCCCCCATCTGATTTAATTGTTTTTTTTAAATGAAGGTTGACGCGAGGAAATCATACAAACGTTTGTTTGTTTAAACAGTTTATCCGAGGAGATTTAAAACAGTGTATTTTTATTAGTATTAGAGATTATAACGTGAATAAAAAACAATTGTTTTAAAAAGAGAACTACCTAATAATTATTTTAATTGACATCCGCACAAATTTCGGGAAAAAAAGTTCTACTTTTCCAACCTACAATTAAAAAAGTAGTCGGCGCTAGGTTCAAGATAGTATTTATTTTAATAAATTTTAATAAAGAATAGGATAATAGGGGTCGCCGTGACACACTCGACAGGAATTTAAATTACCAACAAATTGATCATTAAATCTCCCTTTATTATGTTAATTCCATACATGCATATCAAACTAGAAATACTAATGATTTTTATATTAAAACTTCTAGAACTGCTAAATGTATGAACAATGGCCTTATTATGTTTAATAATTTACCAACAGAAACTAAAAATTGTGATAATTATAATAATTTTAAGAAATTACTATTAACATATATTAAACAAAACGTATATATGTAATGTATTTATTTATGTAAGAAACTATAATAGTTTTAGCTAAATAAACGTTTATTTATTTATAACAAAAATAAAAAATATACTTAACTCTACAAAATCGATTTAGTACGCTCCTATCCAATCAGCTGTTCGATGTAGCTGACAAAAAGTTTAAGGTTAATAGTTTAATAATAAAATTTAATCGACCAGATTGTACGGATTGGCAGATAACCACTGATTCCAGTGACTAACGTTAAAGACCTATGTTAGTGAATTAGCTTGTTTATTTAATTTAATTATTTAATTACGATAGTAATTTTTGGGTTTGTACTAAATTAACAAAAACTGCCTAAATAAAATGATTGAAATGTTACTTACTCTAAAAAAATATAAACGTTTTGATGAAAATATGAGAAGATTTCAACATCATTTTATAAGATAAGGGCTATATTTCAACAAGTTTATGCTCACACCGTTGTCAGATAATCGCCACATAAATATAATCATAAAAGTATTTTATAGCTTTTCGCTCTAAAGTTTATTATTTGTGATTTGTAAACAATGAATTTTGACGAAATTGTATAGCACCATTTTATAAATGATCTTTAAGATGCGCAAGAACAACGGAATAAGCCCGAAAATAATTTATTCCAAGGAAAGATGCCTTTGAATTTTTGAAATTAAAATTTAGAAAATACTTTTGCTTACCCAAGAAGTTATCCAGTTAGAGACACATTTTGTCCAATAGAGAACCAAAGCATTTCCTTTAAGTATGTAAATAAAATGTTTTTGCTTTATTGACCAAATATTTGCAACTACTTTTATATTACCTTTTATGCTCTAGAGTCATTCCATATGAAATCAACAAATTTGAATTAAAAAGTGTGCCGCATGATTTTTAATTTAAATATAAAAAATTGAGGATAATCTTTGAGGTACCAGAAATGCTAATCCACCATCATTTATTTTTTTAACGTATAACTTCTACTCAGTACCCATCCAAAGTCAAAAGTTGGGTCAATTTCATACTTGTACATAATGGGCTCTAGCTTTTAACTTAGAATAGGTATTGAATTTATTGATGCTTTATTTGATTGGGTAGTAAATGTGCATTTCATATTATAAAATAAAATTGAACAGTAACAACTATGAACCAAATGGTAACAATATAAAATTTATAAAAAAAATTCTCATTTTTATCATTTTTAATTGGACTCTGTGTCAACCCAGTTGCACATTAAGGTTTGATTTTTTTTTAAAATATAGTATTAACCATTCTGATGCCACGACTTAACTTTAATTGTTCTAGAATGATATCTCCTATGAAAAAAAAATTGTGAAAATTGATAAATTTAAAAAATGCTTGATCCTCAAAAAACTCATGTGGAGGAATAAATAAAAATTTGATATTTTCACAAATTATAGTCTATATCTTCGTTAATTACGTCCAGTTAGTGCCATTCTGTTATTTTCACTTCTAGGAAATATGTTTTTTTTAAGGGCCACTTTTAGAAAAATCAAAACAAAGTTTTTTACAATGACATTAATGGCCGTATGCAAAAATGTTTATTGAACTCTGATCAAATTAATCCGACGATTTAATTTGATCAATGATTTAAGTTTTTGCCAATTTGGTAACACTGTATGATTCATAAAAACGTATAATTAATAAACCTAATTGAGTAATTATCTTTAAAATGCGTATATTTTCCCTTAAAAGTAAACTTCTATGCACTAACATCAGATTGTTTCCAACCAATAACATCATTTAAAATCAGGCGCAAGGATGCCAGAATCTGTTTAAAAAATCCGCAAAATTTTGTTTAAATTACAAAAATGATACAATTAACAATAATGAATAACGTCAAATTGAAAATTTAAATTGTATCATGTTTCATTTTTGTAATTAAAGTGCATTAAAACAAAATCTAGTGAATTTTATTGACAGATTCAGGCGTTAATTAAATTAGAGCATAAGCAGTGATTTAACAATGACTTAATACCGTGGTAAAAATTGCAATAATTGTGTATAACCATTACAAAAACTAAGAAATATGAAAAAATAGTAAAGTACGTTAATAATAAATACATTTCTTACATCAAAAGTGGGATACAATTCACGTGTCGTTTGTGAGTGTTGATTTTTGATTGTTTTGTGCAAAAATGCAACGTAAAAATTATCGTTCACCCACCACTCGGAACAAGAGATATAAAAGTCGAAGTAGAAGTCGAAGTAGAAGTCGAAGTAGAAGTCGAAGTAGAAGTCGAAGTCCCAAAAGGCGACATAAAACCACGAACCCGAGTCAGCATACTAGCCGATCAGGGGGTGATACGGCGAGGTTAGGAACCGGGACAAGTTGGACTAGGCACTCAAGATCAAAGGACTCGGAACAATCAAAGCCATTAACCGAATTTGGGTCTGTTATTGCAGAAAGTATTGATAAATTAGTAAACAGTAGGCAACGGCAGACTAAAGTAAGTAATCTGGCTATTATTCATAACATTATTGGGGAGTTTGATCCTGCAAAGACAGATGTTAATGTTTGGTTGAATTCTGTCGAGGAATACGCATGTATTCATAACTGGGACGATAAAACTAATAGCCATTTGGCACTAAGTAAGTTAGTAGGTGTGGCTCAAACTTGGTATAGAGGACTACCTACTCGTTTATTTACCTGGCCTGAATGGGCAGATTTGATTCGTACAAATTTTGGTCAGAAACATAATTTACATACATCAATTAAAAATATGATGGCTTGCAAAGCAAAACCAGGAAATTCTTTGTATGAATATTTGTTTGAAAAATTAGCATTAATTCATAAACTAAAATTATCAATCAGTGAGCAAAGTCAGGTCGATTTAATTATTGGTGATATTGAGAACGACGAAATAAAATTCTCGATTGAAACATCGGGTATTAGCAAACCTCATTTATTAGCTGCTTATTTTAAAACATTAGACAAACGTCGTCTAAACACATCGGTTATCGCAGGAACTTCAAAGCCTAATATTGGAATTCCATCAGTCAGCACAAATAAAAATCCGACAACTACAGTTACAAATTCAATAATTCGTACTTGCTTTGTTTGCAAAGAGCCCGGTCATTATAAAAGGGATTGTCCCAAATATACCAAAAATAAAAAACAATTGGCGCTAACATACAAAAATGTAAATTTTATAGGAATAGATCCGAATTATAAATATATTAAGTTGATTCATGTCAATAGTGTAATGGTAAAATGTTTCATTGATATGGGTAGCGAGTGTTCGCTGATGACTGGCAAATTTGCTGATTGTGCGGGATTAATACTTAAAAGTTTAAAATCACCGGTGGCGTTACAAACATTGGGGGGGCAGGTGACTGTCGTCTCTGAGTATTTTGAGACTGATACGGTAATTGATGATATTGATGTTCTACTACTGTTTTATATTGTAAGCGAATGTGTCCGGGATGTTGACATTTTAATTGGTCAAAATTTTACTGAATCAGATGATATCGAATTTATAAAGTCTGGGAATAATCTCAAACTCTTTAGAAAATCCATTCCTTTCAAGTTGTTTATTGATTCAATTAATGAATCCAACGTACAGATTGGTATTAATGAACCAAAAATTGTTCAGTCACTGCTGTCTCTCTTAAATGAATATTCTATGTGTATTTCGTCAGGTATAGCCGAAGTGGGGTTCTGTTCTTCCACTACGATGAAAATTCAGCTTACGTCAATGCAACCTATTTCTTGCAGACCAAGACGGTATTCCGATGTCGAAAATGCCGAAATTCGAGATATTGTGTCAAATTTAAAAGAAAATGGCATCATTAGAGACTCTAATTCTCCTTACTCCAGCCAAGCTTCTCTGGTATCAAAAAAAGAAGATGGTAGTAAAAGATTGGTGATTGACTACCGACCCTTAAATAAGATAACAGTCAGGGACTGTTACCCGCTCCCTTTAATTGAAACACAGATCAATAGGCTTGCCGGTTTTAAGTTTTCCATCACTCTCGATTTATTCTCTGGTTATTATCAGATACCAATGTCTCCCGAATCTATTTGTTTTACTTCTTTTGTGACCCAAGATGGACAATATGAGTTTTTAAGAATGCCATTTGGGTTATGCAATGCGCCGGCTGTATTTCAGCGTATGATAAATTCTGCTTTGGGCCAATTGAGATTTACAAAAGTTTGTGTTTATTTGGATGATATTTTAATTCCTGGTCGTACTCC